CAATTAACGGTATCACAACCGTTCCGCCGAATAATTAGTTTCAGTGAGCATGCGCGGCTTACCACGGGCGCCTCTTTTCACCAATAATTATCGCGATCACCTGCGCGCGCATGCTTTCTGCCAGCCGTCTTCCGTTAATTTTGACAGCGGCCAATAATGAGCTGTGCCCTCGAGTCACCTCGAGCACACTTAAAATTGCTCGCAATAATTGGCGCTTCCCGAAAAGGTGGGTTTTCTGCGGAAACCCATAAAAGAGAGCTCGCACCCGAAATCCGGGCCTTATCGCTTTTCCGCCGTGAACCGCATAACGCAACCGCAGATTTGTAAAACCGCAAAAATTCGTTGACGACCGCCGCTTATTCCGCACTTTGATTTTGAGTTCGATTTTCTCTGTAAATTAATTAAGATTGTAAAAGTTTGTTAAAGTGTTCGTTTTTTAATTGTTTTATAATATTAAAGTCAGTTTAATACAAAAGGTGACTCATCCTTTCGTGCAGCGCGATCCTTTCTCTCGCAGCGCGTTCGTGAACATATTTCTGGTCCTTCGAGCCGGATCCGTCGCACCGGCAACCGCAAGTTCGCGAGCGTGACTTCTCGTGTGAGTGAAGGTGTGAACGTCTGGGTGTGCAGCCGTCATGGATGTGTCCACGCTGGTCGATTGTCAGCGTGAGATTCAAATCCGAATCTCACGCTCCGTAGAGTACCTGAAGAAGCTGGGCAGCGCCAACATCACCACCAGTGCTATCGCCACACGCACCAGAATCCTGGATCAGCTGTGGGCAAAGTTCGAGACGCAGCACGACCTTATCCGAGCGGCCCTGAAAGACAAATTCAGTGAGAGCGAGTATTTCAAATCAGATTTCCATGCAGATACAGAAAATCTGTACGTAAGTCAGCGAAGCATACTTGATGGCTACGCCGAACACTTTCGTGCACCGAACGTAGCTCCTTCTGCCGACGTCACGCCACGGTCGTCACTGCCGCGCATCAAGGTACCGCCATTCTCTGGTGCTTACGCTGATTGGCCGTCGTTTCGGGATCTCTTTCTCTCCGTCGTGAGTGGCAACGCGATCTCCAACATCGAGCGCTTCCATCACCTCCGCTCATGTCTGACGGGACCGGCTGAAAAGTTAATAAAGTCGTTACCCGTCACTAGCGACAATTATGAGCGTGCTTGGGCGATACTGGACAAGCACTACAACAATAAAAAAGAATTGATCCGCTCCAACTTTGCCACGTTCATCGCCGTGCCAAAGATGAAGGGAGATACCGCAGAGAAGTTGAGACGCATCCACAACGCCGTTACTGCCACCGTCAACGGTCAGGAGAGCATCGGGCGTCCAATAAACTCCCACGGGATGGACCTCTTCAACTTCCTGGTGACGGAGCTTTTTGATGCACGCACACGTCTGGAGTGGGAGTCGTCCATTTCAGACTCATCAGAGCCAGCACAGAACGAGGCACTCGTTGACTTTATCAGTCGGCGGATCCTGACGCTCAATGCCGCACGACCGAAGGGCGTCAGCAAACCGTCCGGAGATGCTCCACGAATCGCCAAGGCACACGTCACGAAACACCAAGGATCTGAACCGCCGCACTGTGCACTGTGTCGCGAGAACCACACCTTGATGGCCTGCCGAGACTTCAAGGCCAAGACAGTCAACGAGCGTAAGGCGTTCATAGAGACAAGCAAGCGCTGCTACAATTGCTTAGGCAACCACTTTCTATCTCGCTGCCAGTCGAAGAAGAACTGCCTCACATGCGACGCACGACACCACACGATGTTGCACGGAGCACCGACGTCTTCACTGTCAGCTGAGGCCACCACACGCGCCACCACACTGACCACGACTCTGCAACATCAGGATCACAAGGCCGTTCTTCTGGCAACAGCTCGAGTGAACATCGCCGATCGGTACGGTTCCACCACACGCCGTACGCGCTCTGATCGACCAATGCTCTGAGATGTCGATCATTTCAGAGACCTTGGCACAACGCCTTCGCCTTCCTCGAGTCTCGACGGATCTCTCGATCTTCGGCATCGGAGGGACCCGCTCAGGATCCGCTCGAGGCAAAGTAACGCTGCACGTAACGTCAGACGTGACCAACGCCGAGCTCAGCGTGGTAGCCTTTGTGCTGCCTCGCATATCACTGCAGCAAGGATCAGTCTCACGAGGAGAACGCAGCTGGCCTCATCTCAAGGGACTCCAACTGGCCGATCCTCGTTTTTTGGACGACGACCCAGCTGAGTTACTCCTAGGAGCCGAGGTCTATTCCTTGATCCTCGAGGAAGGCCTCCGCAAAGGAGATTCAAGGATGCCGATCGCCCAGCAAACAAGCCTGGGGTGGATCCTCTCTGGCGGATACGACGCCGCATCAGTCAACGGACATCGCCGCACATTCCGATGCACCGCCGATCATGACCTCGCCGACCTCGTTCGCCGCTTTTGGGAGCAGGAGAGCGAGCCAATATCTCAGGCTCCACTCACTCCTGACGAAACCAAGTGCGAGGAGCTTTACGTGCGCACCGTCACACGCACCCACCGGAAGATACATGGTGAGACTGCCTCTTGCATCACCGCCGACGACTCTTCAAGACACTCGCCGCCCAGCGAAGCACCTCCTGAAAGCCATGGAGTCCAAGGGCAGCCGAGACCCTCGATTTGGCGACCTTTATCGCAGCTTCATGCAGGAATACGAGGACCTGCAACACATGAAGAGGGTAAATATCGCAACAACAGCTGAGAAGATCAGATGCTACTTACCGCATCACGGGGTCCTGAAGGAGGCGAGCACGACGACGAAGCTCCGAGTCGTGTTCAACGGCTCTCAACGGACACGAACTGGGAACTCGCTGAATTCGCATCTGCTGACTGGGGCGAATTTGCTGCCCGCTCTCACCGACGTGCTGCTGCGATGGCGTTGGCACCGGTATGTCTTCGTCACAGACATCGAGAAGATGTATCGCCAAATTCTCGTACATCCTGAGGACTGCAGCCTTCAAACGATACTGTGGCGTCAACACAAAACGAGCGAGATCCAGGAGTACGAGCTGCTGACGGTGACCTACGGCATGGCGTGTGCACCGTTCCTGGCCATCCGAACGCTGCGGCAACTCTGTGCGGACGAAGGGGCGCAGTTTCCTCAAGGGGCCACAGCACTTCGGCGAGATTGCTACGTCGACGACGTAGTCACCGGAGCGGACGACCTCGGCGATGCCGTCAATTTCCAGACAGATATGCGCAATCTCTGCATGGCGGGCGGATTTCCGCTGAGGAAGTGGGCTTCAAACAATCCGGACGTCCTCAGCGGAGTCCCACAGGAGCATCGGCTGCAGCAAGGACCACATTCCTGGGACGACGAGAGCCATTCGACCTTGGGTCTGCGATGGCATCCTCAAAAGACCGGTTTGCCTTCGCCATACATCCTCGTGTAGTCAGCGAGTTTACGAAGCGACGAGTCCTCGCAGAGACTGCACGGCTGTTTGACCCGATGGGCTGGCTCGCACCTGTCGTGATTCGGGCGAAGATCCTGATCCAGACCACCTGGCTTCAGCAACTCGACTGGGACACTCCACTACCTGCCAAGGACGTCAAACGTTGGCAACAGCTGCTGAACCAGCTACCTCTGCTCAGCAACATACGGGTGAATCGCTGGCTCAGCACCGACAGCGATTACTCCACGTTGCAGATCCACGGCTTCGCAGATGCATCAGAGCGAGGATATGCTGCCGCCGTTTACATCCGCAACTCTGGAAAGAAACAAATCACAATCAATTTAATCATGGCGAAATCCAAGGTCGCGCCCGTCAAGCCAGTTTCGTTGCCTCGCCTTGAACTGTGCGCTGCTGTGCTACTCACCACGTTGACGTTGCATATCCGAAACACCCTCGGCTTGACATCAACTCCAGTGCACCTGTGGTCCGATTCCAAGGTCACTCTCCATTAGATCCAGGGACACGCCGCTCGCTGGAAAACGTTCGTCGCCAACCGGGTGGCTCACATCCAGACTCAGCTCCCGGACGCTCAGTGGAGACACGTGGCCGGGAAGGACAATCCTGTAGATTGCGCATCACGAGGAATTAATCCGGAAGAGTTAGTCAATCACACGCTATGGTGGACTGGACCTACCTGGTTGGCATTGGACGAGACAGCGTGGCCCAGCTCAGGGTCGACATCGCAGAGGACGACCTTCCGGAACAACGCACCACCAGCCTGATGACCAAAGATGCCGTCATCGTTGAACCGGATCTTCTCCTTCGGTTCTCCACACTCCATCGGCTGCTGCGCGTTACGGCCTGGTGTCGTCGATGGCTCAACGTGGCGAGCCGAGAGGTCACACTTGGTCGTCCGCTGCATCCTGACGAGCTGGACGCCGCCCTACTTCAGTGGCTTCGAATTGTGCAGGCACTCCACTTCCCGGACGAGGTAGCCGCTGCCACCGCGGGACGTCCCGGTCCACCACGCAGTTCACTGATCAAACTCAGTCCATTCCTCGACGACCAAGGTGTACTGCGCGTAGGAGGGCGCCTCAAACACGCTCTGCTGCCTTACGACGAGAAGCACCCGGTGATCGTTTCGCCGGCCTCCTATATGACGCGACTGCTCATCGAGTCCTGCCATCGTCGGTCTCTACACGGACGGCGTCCAGATGACTCTCGGCTTGCTTCGTCTTCGATTCTGGGTGCCACGAGGAAGGACCGTCATTAAGCAGCAACTTCATCGGTGCGTCACTTGCACTTGTAGTAATATTTGTCCACAAACGATAACTTTTTTAAGAGCTTTTATTAATACGTGTTATCAATGAGAAATTACAATAAAAAGTGAAAGCAATAAAAGATGTATTTGTTTAATAAACAAATGGTCTGTAACATAGTAACGAAGGTGTAAAAACGTATAAGGTGTAAGTGTATATGTGGTGTAAGTGTAGATGTAAAAATGCTATAGTTAATGCTACAGTAACGCCACAGTACTCCCCCCCAAGCGACGACTACGTTGCAAAATGGACTTTCTTCTTAGCTGGGTAAGTTCGTAGTGGTTTTCCGAAAGAAGCAGTAGAAGAAGTACTATGATCATCCATGACTGATGTGGTTGTAGGAACTGCAGGTACAACTGATGGTACAACAGATGTGGTTGTAGATGTAGATGTAGACGAAGTACTCGAAGAGGATGAATGAAGAACAGAAGAATCTTCCTTGGGAAAAAAGGCTGGTTTCAGACGTTCCGTTGAGACGTTGACCAATTTTCCTGAAATGTCAATAGTAAACAAAAAATCAGAAATTCGTTTGTTAACAAGAAAAGGACCAGAATAAGGTGCTTGAAGAGATTTCTTAACAGCATCTTCACGAAGCCAAACATGAGTACAATCGTAAAGATTTTTGTGTACAAAAGGTGATTTTTTGGAGTGATGATGGGTAGGAGAAGATCTAATATTCCTCATATGTATTCTATGTTTCTCTAAAAATATTTCAGGATCTGCTGGAAAATCTTCCTCAACAAAGAATTCACCAGGAATCCGAAGAGTAGTTCCATAGAGTAATTCAGCAGGTGAAGTTTTCAAATCTTCTTTGAAACACGAACGAAGACCAAGAAGAACAGTAGGTAAAGATTCCAACCAATTCTTCGTCTGATGACACATAATTGCAGTCTTAACAGTCCTATGCCATCTCTCCAGAATTCCGTTTGAAGCTGGATGATAAGCAGAAGTTCTCTTGCGATCACATCCAATCAAATTAGTTAATGCTTTAAAGAGAGATGCTTCAAATTGTGGGCCTTGATCAGTAGTAATAGTTATAGGAGATCCATATCTAGCCACCCAATGAGAATAGAAAGCTGTCGAAACTGTTTCAGCAGTTATTTCTTTAAGTGAAATAGCTTCAGGCCACCTCGAGAATCGATCTATTATTGTTAAGCAATAACGGAAATCTTGACAAGAAGGAAGAGGGCCTATTAAATCCAAATGAACATGTTGAAAACGCTGATCAGGAACCGCAATTCTAACAGGGACATTTTTTGTATGTCTTGAAATTTTGGAACGTTGACAAGGTAGGCAAGAGCGAGACCACTCTTTAACGTCTTTATTCAATGACGGCCAAATAAATTTCTGTAGAAGTTGTTTAGCTGTAGTTCTACCGCTGGGATGTGCGAGGCCATGAACTACATCAAAAATTCTCTTACGAAGAGGTTTAGGAACGTATGGACGAATTAACTCAGAGGAACAGTCACAATATATAGGTACAGATGAACCAGTAAGCATAAGTTTCCTTAATTGAAGTGAAGAGTTCAAAGAAAGGAGATCTTGAAGTTCTTCATCATCCTTTTGAAATTCTGCTAATTCTTCCAGAGAGACAATGATTGTGTTACGTCCGGCAATTCACCTTACGGTAAATCACTTTATGCACAAGTCGGTCTTCTCTTGCGTCTACCTCGGTAAACGTTCGAGAAGCTGCTCTCTACTTTTTTAGGGCAACCTGCTAGGCCGGCTATACCCTGGGATGCCGAGAGCTTGAGATTCGATTGAGAAAGTCGGATGGAGAAGAAATTCTGCGGGTCGGGTCAAGAAATAAAGATATTTTACAAGTATAAAAATTGTTTATTCATTTATAAATCCTTTATGTCGACACAAAATCTACTGGTCCTGACTCGGTTCAGGATGAGTTTGAAACTGTATTACAATGTTATTGAGCTCCTGTTCAGAGTCGTTAGATTGGTTAAGATAGTTTATAAAGGAATTAAAATTATTCTGTGCTCCTTCTGGGATGAAATTATTGACGTCGTCGGGAGCGAGTACCACGGTGTCCTCGTCGAAAATATTGAAATTGGGTTGTAAAAATGGATCGTATTTAGGAGATGCTAATTGTTGAGTTTGATCATGGACGTAATATTCAGGGTCAGTTAAAAATTGATGATTTGGATCGACTAAGTAAGTGTTTGATTCTGAATGAGACTGTTCAGGAAATTGAGGGTGAGAGTAATCAATGTATGGAGGAATACTATTAATTGGCGAATAAGCGTCTGAAGAGGGAGGTTGTATGATTATTCGCGTTGGATAAATTTGAACGTTTAGATTTAGAGGTCTTCGAGATCTACGTTCGCGTAGCCTGCGAAGGTGCTGCTCGTTTCGATCGATCTGATTCCTTCGTCGGAAAGGAGAGACCATCTAACGGTTAAATAAATTTACATGAATAAATCGAAAGATAGATTGTTCTATTATTTGAAATAATTGAATATGACTCACGTTTGTAGCGTGATTTACTCGTTAATGAGAGCGAACAAAGATGAAAGGTTAATCTTATGCGAGAAAGCCCTTCACCTATTAATAAATTAACCTTATGTCAGTAATTATTATAATAAACCTGTATTAAATGAGGATTTGTAATAACGTGGATAAAAGGAAGGATTTGAATAGGAGTATTAATATCTGCGTTGAGAATATTAATACTTGATGTTTCAATCGTTAATAATTAAATCTTAAACCTTGAAATAGTAATTCTTAATGAATAAATAAATCTTAGACTTTGAAGTAACAAATTGTCAATGAATATCAAAATCACTGTCAGTTGGTATGGTAAAGTAATTCGCAATTATTGGAAAATGCAGGGTATTAAAAGCATGAAAGAATAGAGAGATAGGTGTACATCCGGTTATTCCGGGTTCTCAGGTCCTGGTCTTAATAGGCTAATGCTACGTTCACTTTACTAAACGTGCATCTCTGAGATGATTTGCGAATTTACCTTCTGACAGGATATAATATTCTAATGTGTACTAAGGAATTAGCGTTATTCAATTCGCTAATAGGTAGTAGGATACGGGGTTACATACATATATAAATAAGCAGTGATATAATAAAATACATAAGTATATTTATTATAATAGATTGAATAAGTATGCGATATCGGTTAAATAATATTGAATAGTATTGGATAAAATATTAAATAGATCGACGATTGTAACGCAGACGTATGCAGATGCAAATCGTAGATTGGAATAATATCGGAAACGCAGAATATATGGCTTATGTCTGTATTCAAATTCAGAGTTCGTAATGTGAAATAAGATTGAGTTCGAAATTCAGTGGTTAAATAATTAAATTCAGAGTTCGTAATGTGAAATAAGATTGAGTTCGAAATTCAGTGGTTAAATAATTAATTAAATATAATGATTAAATATAATGAGTGTCCGTCGCGCTTTACTATTTAGGGATATGTGAACTGGCTTAAATACTCACAAGGTTAGACAATGTCTTATGTGCCTTGCTATGGTACACTTCGCTACTGTGTTCTTCCCTCTGAGTTGAAGAGCTGAGGAGCCTCGGTACCTCGGTCCGAAATGGCGGCTATGTCTCGATGTCTTCAGAGCCCCGTAGTATTTGCTGGTTGAGTGCTGGATTGTTGTTGACTGGAACCACTGCGACGAAATCACTGCCGTTCCGTGCCGGGAGCCGGGTTTATATACCCAAAAATGGGGCTCGCTCCTCCCATCGGGCGATGTGGCTCAGCCAATGGTAAGAGAGATGTGCCGGGGAAGTACCGGAGATAATCTGTTCCTGGTAGAGATTGCGACGGTTAAGTCCCGGAGAGATGGCTTCTTAGTAGAGATAGCGGCGTTCCTAGGTGACTCATCGCCGGTCGCTCCGACTTTCCTTATCCTATTCTGGTAGCGATAGCTGTATGCCTTTGTTGGCTATGCGCTCCGACTTATCTTATCTTCTTCTTGGTAATCGATTTTGCAGGTGGCTGGTGACTCATCGCTATGCGGCTTGCAACGGGCCTTGCAGGTTGCAACGTGTTTCAGCGTTGCATCATGCATTGCATCACGCTATTGTTCTAGAACCTTCTAGAATCTTCTGGATGTTTCCTTGCGAGTAAAGCCGAGTTCACATAGTAAAGCGGCTTTCATACATAATTATTTAATTACTTAGTATACTTCTTTATAAGCGATATATATATATATAAATATTTCAGGTATAAGAATTTTGTGTGTTAATATATATATATATATATATATATATATAGTGTACATATTTAAAATTTAATACTATTGAATAATATATATATTTAATATTAGTAAAATGAATATTATGTCTTATACTGTCGTTGAAATCGCCGGAGAATACCATATGTCTTATGCAGTCATTGAAATCGCCAGAGAATATATATAGTGTCGTCAAAGTATACGATTGATATATATATATATATATATATATATATATATATATATACGTTCTTAACCTTATTTTAGGTTTTCTCACAAATAATCAATGAGGATTTTAAATATTCATAGTCGAACTATGGTATCCTTATTTAGTACTTTCGAACGTGTGACGGCTACAATGTTACTACGCATTACGTGTACGATTTTTAAGTCTCTTGAATTATGAATAGTTATAATATAGGCACGCTTATGCTTATTTCAGGTTTATGTTTCCTAACGAATGATCGAGAGTAGAGAGTCTTTATTAATTATGCCTTTTATGCTATCAATATTATTAAATTTAAAAGTGAATTATTACTCTGTCGTCATTTGTGAGAAGACATGTTTTATCCTACGAGTAATTATATGTGATTAAATATTCGTTATTACCGGTCTTTCATGCAGGTTAGAGATTGTCATGACTAATAGATTAAAGGATAAAGTTTTGAAAAAGTTTGAAGTTTTGAAATTTGTCTGGACGTTACAATTGGCATTGAAACTGATTCAATTCTTGATAAAGCATCAGCTACAGAATTTAACTTGCCTGAAATGTGGACAATATTAGTAGAGAATTGAGCAATAAGATCCAGTTGCCTAATTTGTCTAGGTGAAGCTTTGTCAGGTTTCTGAAGAAAAGCATAAATTAAAGGTTTGTGATCTGTCCTAATAATGAGTTGTCGTCCCTCAAGCAAATATCTGAAATATTTAATTGCTAAATAAATGCTTAAAAGTTCTCTATCGTAAGTACTGTAGTTCTTTTGAGTTTTATCAAGTTTTTTAGAAAAGAATGCAATTGGTTTATTGACATTTTCAATTGATTGTTCAAGTGATGCTCCTACAGCGAAATCAGAAGCATCACAAGTAAGAATCAAAGGAACTTGAGGAGCAGGATGAGAGAGAGTAGTCACACGGAGAAGTTCTTCTTTGCAATTCTGAAAAGCTGCTTCTGTCTCCATAGACCAAGGAATAGTTCTCCTATCTCTCTTGCGACTGTCCTTCAAAAAGTTTGTAAGTAATGCTTGATGTTCAGCTGCGTTTTTAAGGCAACGACGATAATAATTAATAATACCAATAAATCTTCTTAAATCATGTATTGTCTTAGGTTTGGGATAGTCGATAATTGATTTGACTTTTTGTTCTGTAGGTTTGATTCCTTGATTAGAAACAAGATATCCGAGAAAAGTAATTTCTTTTTGACCAAAAAGACATTTGGAAACATTAAGTGACAATACAGCTTTCTGTAGACGATCAAAAACAATCCGCAAATGAGCTATGTGTTCTGACTCATCTCTAGAAGCTATGAGAATATCATCAAGATAGCAAAATGCAAAATCTAAATCATTTAACAATATATTCATAAACCTCTGAAAAGTTTGAGCTGCGTTACGAAGACCAAAAGGCATAACCAAAAATTCGAAAAGTCCAAAAGGTGTAGTTACAGCGGTCTTAGGAATATCTTCCTTTGCAACGGGTACTTGATAGTACGCTTTAACCATATCAATCTTAGAAAAGATATTCTTACCGTAGAGCTCCGCAGTGAAATCCTGTATGTGAGGCAATGGATATCGATCAGGGACAGTGACCGAATTTAACGCACGATAATCTCCACAAAGTCTCCATACATTTTCCTTTTTTGGAACCATATGTAAAGGTGCTGCCCACGTACTGCATGATGGTCTACAAATACCTTGGTCCATCATGAATTTAAATTCTTCTTTAGCATACTTCAGTTTCTCCGGAGAAAGTCTTCTGGGAATTGCAAATTTCGGAGGACCTTCCGTAACAATCCGATGTTCAATTCCATGTGAGTTTACCGATGAAAGAGGGGCAAAATGAGTAAGTCCTTGAAATTCTGCTAAAATCTTGTGAAAAGAAGAATCTGGAGATGTGGTACAAATTGATAATTGCAAAACTTCTTGTATCTTTCCACAGTTTTTAAGACCTGTTAAGGAATCAATTAGACGTTTGTTTTTAACATCTACAAGGAGATTAAAATGTCCGAGGAAATCTGCGCCTAAAATGGGACGTTGTATGTCCGCCACGCAAAATTTCCAACGGAAAATTCTCCTGAGACCAAGATCCACGGAAAGAGTTTTAGATCCATAAGTATCAATGTGTGTTCCGTTAGCAGCAAAAAGTTTTAAATTGGTTGATAACGGTTTGTATAATATTTTCTTGGGAAGCAAAGAAATGTCAGCACCAGTGTCAACAAGAAATTGTAAATTAGACGACTTGTCAAAAATAACGAGGCGATGACAAGGTAAACCGTTGCGAGTTGCCTCTATCTTCAACGGTATCTCTAGTTTTCCGTTGAATCAGTGAGACAAAGAGTTTTTGACTTAGTACAAGGAATTGTACATTTCTTTGCTTTATCTCCAAATTTCTTGTGATAAAAACAAATTTGTTCCTTAGAATCCGACTTTTTATCTTTTGAATTAGATCTTAATCTTGTTTTACTTCGAGATCGACTAAAAGATCTACCGCGACGACGAAAAACTTCCAGCGCAGCAATTCTTTTTTCTAAATCGGCAAGATCCGATTGCTTTGATTTTAAAGAAGTATTTACTTCGGTTATTTGATACCCGGTATCACGTTCGACTATTTTATCAGCGAGTTCAGCTAGCTTGATTAAGGGTACGTCCTCAACAACAGCTAAAGTCGCTTGAACTTTGTATGGCAAACGTTGAAGCCAAAGTGAATGTAAAATATTATCCGCTAAAGATCCACCGGATAATTGGCGTATCTTTCGTAAAAGCTCCGTTGGTTTTTTATCATTCAATTCAATTCCGGCTAATAATTGACGTAAGCGTTTTTCTTCTGAATCCGTGAAGCGATTAATGAGCGCCGATTTTAAAGCGTTATATTTATCATTTTCGGGTGGATTTTCAACAATTTCCGAAACGACAATTAATGCCTTTTCATCGAGATGACGGATAACAGTACTATATTTTATTTCTTCGGAACGTATACGAAATACCAAAAATTCGCTTTCGACTTGAGCAAACCACAATTTAGGTTGCTTGTGCCAGAATGTGGGAAGTTTTACCAGACGAAATTCATTAGAATGGATCTGAATGGACTCACCAGATTGCTGTTGCATATTTCCAGAGGGTGAATTAAAAATTTCCGATCCCACCTGATTTAAAATGTTCTCTTTCGAAGATGTCAAAGCAGTTGAAGTAGACGGAACAGTAGAGTTAGTTGTCTCAGTTCTAGGAGGAGATCTATCCAAAGGCATCTCGATTGATATTCCGATGACGAAAAGAAACGATCCGGAAATCCAAGTCCGAAGATTCTTGACCACGTATAGAAATTTTTCAAAAATTCAGAAATTGAATTTCCCGCTCAAGAGAATATTCCTGTGTTGATCACTAATCACGTCGGGGTCACCAAAATGTAGTAATATTTGTCCACAAACGATAACTTTTTTTAAGAGCTTTTATTAATACGTGTTATCAATGAGAAATTACAATAAAAAGTGAAAGCAATAAAAGATGTATTTGTTTAATAAACAAATGGTCTGTAACATAGTAACGAAGGTGTAAAAACGTATAAGGTGTAAGTGTATATGTGGTGTAAGTGTAGATGTAAAAATGCTATAGTTAATGCTACAGTAACGCTACACACTCGCTGGCGAGCGGCCACTCCACAGCCTCCAATGGGCAACCTTCCGCGTGACCGAGTGAGGCCGACTCGGCCATTCCTGAGCACTGGCCTGGACTACGCGGGACCCATCTTCATCCGGACCAGCAAGGGGCGCGGACACCGCTCACAGAGAGGATACATAGCTGTCTTCGTATGCTTTTGGTCGAAGGCTATCCACATCGAGGTCGTCTCGGACTACAGTTCCGAGGCCTTCATCGCCGCCTTACGCCGCTTCGTTTCCCGCAGAGGCCTGTGTACGGACGTGTACAGCGACTGCGGCACGACGTTCGTCGGCGCCGATCGCACCCTGCGCGAGCTCTTCAAGGCGTCATCTTCCGAGGGCCATCACATCGCTCGCGCCGCCAACAATCAAGGGATCCGCTGGCACTTTAATCCGCCAGCGGCCCCTCACTTCGGTGGTCTGTGGGAGGCTGCCGTAAAATCCACAAAGTTCCACCTCCGTCGAGTAATCGGCGAAACCACCTTCACATATGAGGAGCTTAGCACACTCCTCACGCAAATCGAGGCGTGTCTTAATTCTCGTCCGTTGCAGGCTTTATCAGACGATCCGGACGACACTTCGGCGCTCACACCAGGCCACTTCCTCATCGGGGCGCCGCTATTAGCCGTACCTAAGCCATCGTTGACTGGTCAACCAGCATCCACACTGTCACGCTGGCGTCATCTCCAATTGATGCGAGACCATTTTTGGCAGCGTTGGTCAGCGGAGTACGTGCACGGCCTCAACCCCCGCACCAAATGGGTCAAGTCCAAGGCCGCACCTCACGTGGGGGACCTCTGTCTCATTCGTTCGGAGCTCACCCCTCCGACCCGATGGCCTCTCGCACGGATCACGAGCCTGCATCCCGGGGACGACGGTATCGTCCGCGTGGTTTCGGTTCGCACCGCCACATCCGAATTCGTGCGCCCGCTCGTTAAATTAGTCATGCTTCCGGGCGCGAATCGTATTCCTGGCATGACTAACGCGGACACGTAGTCCGCCGGCACATAATTTATCTCGCGACACTTTTCACCTCACGCACTGTATTACTTGTCACATCTCATTTTTTTTCATCCATCACCGCACTTACATTTGATCCATCACCGCACTGATAATTGTTCCATCATCGCACTGCACTACACAACTCACCAAACACGCGGTTTCATTGCCTCAGCTGATCACCACATGTTCATTGTATCAGCTGATCGATTCAATTACCACGCGATCATCACGTGTATTTCTCCGCGCCTGCGCGTCTACCCCACCATCGATCACTATCGATTCGAGCTTCCGCGGCCGAAATTCCACACATGTTGTCACTGCGCGGCAAGGCGGGCGGGAATGTTCAAAACGCATCAGAAAATATTAGCCGTAGAATAAAATAAAATATTCTGTTCGAATAATATTTTAGAAGATTCTAGAATAATCGATATTTACAGCAAATAGTTTTTTGTATGTTTTTCGCGGAGAAACATAGCGACATAAATCAATCTGTCTCAAAAAAACATTCCTCAAAATATCAACAATTAACGGTATCACAACCGTTCCGCCGAATAATTAGTTTTAGTGAGCATGCGCGGCTTACCACAGGCGCCTCTTTTCACCAATAATTATCGCGATCACCCGCGCGCGCATGCTTTCTGCCAGCCGTCTTCCGTTAATTTTGACAGCGGCCAATAATGAGCTGTGCCCTCGAGTCACCTCGAGCACACTTAAAATTGCTCGCAATAATTGGCGCTTCCCGAAAAGGTGGGTTTTCTGCGGAAACCCATAAAAGAGAGCTCGCACCCGAAATCCGGGCCTTATCGCTTTTCCGCCGTGAACCGCATAACGCAACCGCAGATTTGTAAAACCGCAAAAATTCGTTGACGACCGCCGCTTATTCCGCACTTTGATTTTGAGTTCGGTTTTCTCTGTAAATTAATTAAGATTGTAAAAGTTTGTTAAAGTGTTCGTTTTTTAATTGTTTTATAATATTAAAGTCAGTTTAATACAAAAGGTGACTCATCCTTTCGTGCAGCGCGATCCTTTCTCTCGCAGCGCGTTCGTGAACATATAGAAATGCGTAAAATGAAAAAACTTAATTATATATTAATAAGAATATTTGTGAGTCAGCTCTCCTATTTTTTTTTAAAAAACTCCATCTTCATCTCGACTAAGAGCCAAACGCGATGTTATTGCGACAAATTAAGATTTAGAAATTTTTGGAAACTGAGGAATTTGAATCCTATGGTTGGGATCTCAGAAATTCCCCTTGTTCCTTCTCTTAACATCCCCTGTAAGAAAAAGACGAGAAAAATATTGGTCCGAAAGTCGGCTGAATCGGGAATCGAACCCGAGAACTTCCGCTTGCCGGGCGACTGCTCTTCCAACTAAGCTATTCAGACACTTACAAATCAATATTTCTCTCAATGTTTATAACCCCCCAACCCCCCACCAAGGCGTCGTACCTGGTCTAAACGCAACAAACATTAATAAGAATATTTGTGAGTCAGCTCTCCTATTTTTTTTTTTAAACTCCATCTTC